AGCGATCGATCGAGATTATCAAAACTGAATCGATGCTCAGTAAACAATCTCTCATTGATTGATTGAAATAACACTAAAACACTTAATAGCAAATGCTAAATTTACGCCTTAAATGAATATATATATAGAAATCAAGCCAGTTGGATCTGCTTATTGCCATCGATAACAGAGCGTAATTTGTAAGCAGTTAAGTAAACAGAGTCAAAGACGTTCATTTATGCAGCTTTGTTGCCTGGGCCAAGCTGATGGGCAGCTCATCAATCACTCGGCCAGAGAACATAAATCAAGCCAAGAGTCAAAATCTATAGGAGAATTACGGGAAAAACTACTAAGAAGGCGGACTCTGACGCCTGCAGGTCATAGGCATTGCCGCAGTAGTTCGATGGAGCAACAGTCGTTCGACTTAAGCTCCACTTCCGGCGCCAAAGCAACCAAAACCGGCCATAATAAGTAAGACGCGTAATAAAACCAAAATGCTTAGAGGCCACACACAAAAAGCCAAGAAATTGGCAAAAGGGAGACGGAGAGAGAGAGAGAGAAAGGGGGAGACTGGAGACTTGTGCTAGGGGCTGGCCCACTGACTGCGCCATATACAGAAGACAGTCTGTTTATTTACGCCGCATCGTATGTAGAAGCTTACATATGGACGCCTCCAGGGCCACGGAGAGAGCGAGGATGTGGTCGGGTAGGCGCACTGCCAAGTGCTGGTCCGGTTGTTGCGGCATCCATACGGCGGGGCACATATCACACATGTTGTTCCGAGTACACACGTATGTTGCCTGCAAGCGATAGCGTCAACGTCAACGGCAACGGCAACGGCAACAGCAGCGGCAGCGCAGCAGCAGCGGTAACAGCATCGACGTCGACAGCGACAGCTACAGCGCCTGGCCCAAATCTTGGCCAGCAATCGCAGCCAGCACATATGTGCAATCATGTGGAGCCCACCCCAAGGCCCCAATCCAAGCTAGAGACTCCATTTTGGTTTTGCCATTGGCGCTGGCAGCTGAACACGCCCATTGAGGCGCCAGGCGCATGCTCAGCGCCAGTGCGAAACGATTTCGATGTCGAATTTCGCACAAAGCCAGCCAGGAGGGAATATCTCTCTATGCTCGCAGCTGCTTAGTGTCAAATGTGAGATGCGACTCAGGCAGCTGGGCGGATGCTACGAATTTTAATCAAAACTAGATAAGATTCTGCAAAACAAATATCAAATAGAAAGAATGACAAGTGCACAACAGCAGAGGGGGTTGACGGTGCGGGTGGTTGGGTGCTTGGCTGCTTCGGCTAGAGTGGACCACAAATCCTTTGTGTATGAATCATAAACGCGTTAAATTGAAACTTGGGATTTTACGCAGCTTAAGTTTTTTAGCAATTATGAGCGAAGAGTGCAGAGCTCGGAGCGAGCGAGATGGCCAGCTGAATAATAACAAAAACAGGCGTTAACACTTGTCAGTCGAGGCAGGAATATGTCACCTGCAAGCAGGAGTCTGGGGCAGCAGCACAAAGCTCTGACCAAGCGCCGGCTGCTCTGATAGGGCCAAATTCAATCAACACAGTTTGGCTCGCACCACACAATAAATCTCAGTTAATAACTCGCATAAATTCATATTTATGGTCGAACATTTGAGCCTTTTTGTTTGCACAAACACAGTCACACACACGCACACACACACACGCACACACACGCAGACAATCAAAAGTCGATTAGCATGCAACGCCCGATGGCAGTTGCCCAGCCCAGCTCAGCCCAAACCTGTGGCCCGAGCTGCAAATAGGCAAACGCAGGTAATCGCATTTCAAAAATGTTTGCCCTGTTCCCCCCTCGTCCAGCTCAGAAAAACAAACCAATTTTCAACCCCAGCCCAACGAAAAGTTCGTCTTGAAAATCTGCTGAAACACAATGAAAATATTTTGCCTTCCACACAAGGGATGGGAAGGCGCTAGAGCAGGAGCATGAGGAGGAGCAGTAGCAGGGGGCTGGGACTTGTGGGCATGACTGTGACAAGTACAAGCCACTTGTGCGTTGATGATAATTTTTACATTTTTGGTAACAGACAGCGCAAGAGAACGAGAGAGACAGAAACAGTGGGCGAAAGAGATAGAGAGCGAGGTAGATAGGTTGGACGACGGTCCAGATATCTGAAATCGGCTTATGTCGCCTGCATTGTGCTGACAATGCTGGAGGAGCTTTTGTTTTAACCATGCCATAGATGGGGAGCTCTGGCCCAATCTGTGCGGCCAGGCATTCCATGATTTATGCCCAGTTTTAATTTAAAAGCAATCAATTTCGAAATGTGTAACCAAAAAGAGTTTAGGCAGCAAGAAACTTTCAGATAAGTTATCAAATGAAAGTTATTAATTGACTAAGAAACCGGCAAATGGAGGCTGGGAGGAGCTTAAAGAGAAATTATTTAAAGATGTTGTAGAGGCTAGAGGCTGGAGCACTCACTAATAGGTTTCATCCTCATCGCCTTGGTCAATTGTTGCTCTGCTGACAAGAGGTGTCATTAGCAATAGTCTAGGTAAAAGAAAGCAGAAACCCATTATAAAATTCAATTATGTCAAGCATTCAGTTATCTTGATGCATTATGCTTGGCTAATGAGCTGCCGTTGACCAGCGATCGTATCAGTTCGAGGCGCCGCAACGTGCAAAGGGAAATCAATTAAAATTTATCACTTTATTTTCATTAAGAGACAAAAGTCAAGCGAAAGTCCCCAAGGTGCAATTCGTTATCAATTCGCAGGACAATGGCGGCTCGGATGTGGCTTAACTGTAATTTGTCCTGGCATCGACGCCACGTTACGTTCCTGTTATCTTGCCAACAAGGAAGACAATAAAACGCCACAGCGTTTGTCGCTTTAAATAATAAAAACATTTGATTTGCCAAAGGCGGCACGTGCCCGGACAAGGAGCCGGGATGAACAGCCGGGCGGGCTGGCAGTGCGCAACCAAATCGCAGATAAAACCAACGCGTAAATTAATGGCCGACACGTGTCCTTGACGCTGCCACAAAGACAGCCAACAGCCAACTGTGGCAGGCATCGGCTTGGCCACTAAGCTGCGAATTGATACTCGACTTGGGATTGACTCTCTGTCCACGCTGGGTGGTCTCCATGTGTGAATGGCCTGCTTATGGACAACAAATTATCAGCTCTGTGTGGGATCTGTTTGTTGTGCGGCTGCTGATAATTGAGGCGTAAATGTTGACACACGTCCCGAGAACTTCATCCGCCTCTCCGACTCCAACTGGAGTTTATGCGTGCGACGATTGCCAATCAGATTTACGAGTGCTCAGCAAGTGTGTGGAAGAGTTTTTCAGATTTAGTGCAGCTATTCAGTTTTAGTAGAGCTACAGCCATTGGCGGCAACAAAGTCTATGATAACCCCATCAAACTTTTATAGGGTATGCAAAGCTCGTGAATCGACCATTTGCGTGGTGCATAAAAAAGTTAATAAGCTGCACCACATCAACATCAAATGGCTGAAACAAAGAAGTTCACACAAACAAAGGCGCCTTTTGATTTTCCAGTCGAGGAACCATTTTCAAAACCTTTGACCATATGTGATAAAAATAAAGTCGAGATATGAGGGGTGTCATTGCCTAAATACCCTATATATATTATGAGTTAAGGCTTTATTCCATTCTGAACAAGCTATATGCAGTTCTGTTTGATATGGCGACTTCATATGGAAGAGTTTTTATCGGCAGTGACCGACTGAGAAAAACCCTGAAACTTCTGCTCTTTAAAGATTCTAGATTAGTTGTATAACTCATTGAGAAAAAATAAATGAAACGAGATTTATTCTTTATCTGTATATACTCAATGATCAGCTATATATATAATAAACATGCTGACCTTAGGTCTTTAAAGTAATGATATAGGAAAAATTAAATACAGATCTGAAAATATGAAGAATATTGAATATTTTTTTAAAGAAATCTTCAACTGAATATTATTGAATATTATTTTGAGCTGAATATAAATATAATGGAAAAATATAATAAGTGTATGGTTCTTGTATGAATCAACGGGTGAAGAGACATTTAGATAGAGAGACCCATGAAGGAACTGACAGATGGATCGATTTTCAGGCAGAGCTAGAGCAATTAGACTCTTTATTATGTATGTAGATATATGTAATATATATTCATATGATGAAATCACACACCCTGATATATATACATACCAAAATATAATATATTGCTTAAAGTAAACTATGTATAATAAATAAACAAACATTTTTTTAATAATTATTGCTTATATTATAAGTTTAATGAGCTTTATACTTAACTACATATTAGAAATGTAAAAATGTAAACTTCATGATATAATTCTCAGACTGAATTGATATACACTCAAACCCGCAACAGTTTTGCAGACTCTCATAAACAATCATTATAGAAATCAACCCCCAGCAACACCAACATTTTTTACCTCATGAATAAGGGTATACAACAAATACTTCAGCCAACGCCGCCTTCCGTTCCACCCATGGAAATTAAAAACAAAGTCACACCACAAAGGCAACTGGAATACCTGATTGTATGGGACGCCTGACATATGGCCACTTGGTCGCAATAGAAACTCAGTGAAGGATATGCTAACAACACGAATGATTTTGTGGAAGAGGCACAGCAATTGTCAAATAACCACAGGACATGCACTTGGACGCATCTTGTGTGTGATTGGGCACAGGATGTGTGGCTGGGTGTGGAGGCTTGTTGCCTGGTTAATGATGAATATGCTGATGGGGATTGGATTGGACCCAGTCCAGTTGCTTTGATCCCTGATTGAAGCACAGCTGTGACACTGATTGATGGGCCAGCTCAGCCCTGAGCTCGCCGCATCAGCGATTGCTTTAATCGAAATTCCGTGGGCGGACCGAAACTACAATGTATAAATGGTGTCAACTGTGGGTCACATAAAAAATAATGACCAGCAGAGATAAAATGTTTTTCTCTCTCTCTCTCTCTCTCTCTCTCTCTCTCTCTCAGTTTTTATGTTATTGTTCCACTTCGACAGCAGTCGCAAACAATATTTAAATTTTAAAAAGTTTCCAGTGTTACGGTTAAATGAAGCAGAAGCAAGATTGTCGCCCCAAACACAAATGTTTCATGGATTTTATATGCCAAGTTTGTGGCTCCAGCAGACGCTCGCAAAATGGAAAACAATGGCAGAGCCAAAGGCACGCCCAGCTATGATAGACACGCCCACACAATCGAATTTGCACACTGGACACATTTTGGAAATTGATACAGATAGGAAAAAAAAACGGGACACCGGACACTCGATGGAACGAACTATCAAAGTATTTGGCAATAAATCATAAATCAATACGAGCGAACTCTGGCGGACAGGGCAATCGGAAGTGTTTTTCCCTTGTGTCCCTTTGCTGGCCAAGGGCTGGCTAATGATGTCTTAAAAAACGATTTCGGGCAGGAGCAAGAAAAAATAGACGTGGCAATGTCACAAAACGAGGGCAATTGATGTCCCCAGGTCAAACGCATTAACAAAATTGCCGTTTCAGCTGCCGAGGCTCTATATCAACTATATATATATTTATATACATATGTATACGTGTCTGTGTGTGTGTGTGTGTCCCTGGAAAATTGAATTTCCACGGCGCTAAGTGACGGCGCCAGCAGAGCAACAATATTCTTCCAAATCGGCTTTAAGTCATGAAAAATAATAGACAACCCTCGACGAGTAGTAAAAAGCAGATTGCGAGGCGCCTCAGCAGCCAACAAAAATAAATAAAAGAGATTTTGGAACACATGCTGTGCCGCATATGATGGCCGACGTCGGGGACGCTCAGCGCTTATCAACTGAGAAACACTCATGGGTAAAGTGGGGAGAGCAAAGCAACATGTGAGACTCCAAGGAGAAATAATTGAAATATATACATACATATGTAAATATATAGCTGTCTATGTTGCTAGAGGTTAGTCTCGATCATTGCATATCCAGGTCACCGGGTATCTCTGAGTCCTCAATGGTGCGCGAGGCGGGTATATAAACCTTGAAGGCAAACTTGGACTTTACAAAGGAGCCGGTGTTCAGCACGGTGCAGTCATGCTGAGTGCTGGAAAAGCTTTGGCACGAATCACCCATCACAATAAGATCGGGCAGTGGATATAGCCACAGGGCTGGATCGTAATCCCAGTGCACGGGCATTGCTATGGGATGTATGGGCACCAGGTGACCCTGGCAGACGAGCGTGCGCGCAAAATGCTGCTCGATGTGTGTTGTGTCTGGCGGAAAGTGCAGTGTATTGCGACAGAATTTGGCCATGAGATCCAGTCGACAGACCACAATCTGTTGCGTGCAATACTGCAGCCGGCAAGGATTCGTAGCCAGCTGGGTGCGAGGCCAAGCCTTGAGCAAACCAGCGGCCAGGCACTCGGGCAATGGAGCGCGTGGCAATATATTTGGAGCCGTTGGATCCTCGACAGAGGGCACCAGAATCAAATCGGTTTGTTTTTTCAAATGCTCGCAACCGGCAGCTAAGGCGCCTAGTGCATCCAAATGCTGACGCAGCTCATGATGATTGCGTGTACCGGCCGTAAAGGGTCCCATCAATACAATCGCTTGCGGCGGACAGGAATCATAGCCGACAAAAAGCTGACGCAGCTTTTCCATAACAATAGGCAGATCCAAGCGCACATCGGACAGGAATACAATCGTTGTTTCCGTATTGGTGCGTTCCAATTCCTGCAAACGAGGCGAGTATTTCAGTAGCTTGGCAGCCTCGCCGCCCCAACTGTTGCCCGTACCAAAGAAGGCGCGACTGCTCGTAGCTGGCTCAGCGGGCGGAAAGCCCAGACCATCAACTGTAAAGAAAATTCGATTACTTAATATACAGCCTCTCTTGGAGTTCGGTTGCAACTCACCTTTTAACACTCCATTTGCATAGCTGCCCTCGGCTAGGACAAAGCAGCCCTCGCAGAAGAAGCCGGCATGAAAGCGAGCGCCACTCAAGTCAAGCTGCACACAGCCTGTTGGATCCTCCACATAGAACTTGCCTTCCTTCAGCTGGGTGAGCAAGCCCAGCACAACGGCCTCCTTTAAGCTGGATGTCGCCAGTAAATTTTCAGCATACTGCAACTTGAATTTTTTGGTTTGGGCATCAGCTGCAACGCCGTCCTGTATCACTGCCGGTGCAAACAGATCATGACGCAGTGTCTTCTGCAGTAGCATTGCATAGCGCTGTTGCATATAGTCGGATTTCATTCGAGGCTGTGGCAGCAGACAACGCGGTCGCGAGTCCAGCTCGAACTTCTTGATACGCGTGTTGTAGCGATAGCGGGGCACCGTGAATGCATCAATAAGGGAGAAAATAGTCTCGCCCTCATCCAGACCAACACGATTCAGCTCATTGATTGCTTTTTCCAAGGCATCTCGTTCTACATGCGGCGTTGCTAGCTTCTGTCCCTGCAAATTCTCCGTTATGATTGTCAACCATTTCTCACGTTCGGTTGGCTCGAAGGGCAGTAGCTGTTCGGCAAGGAAGCTGCTGTTTTCGGAGCGGATCAGAAAGCCACATAGCTTAAATGATGTTGTGATGCGCTTTCGCAAATGCGCTAATTCGTCCATTGTTTACGAATTAAATTTATTTAGCTCCAGCACAACCTGTTGATACTCTTATGATTTTGGCGCCATTTGAACTAATGAGCGAACGAACCAATGGTGGAACTAGAGCGGCGCGTACTTTTCAACACTGAAATTGTGGTGGCTTGTCGATTTCTTTGTTTGCACTCAAATATACAAAAAACAAAAATGTCAATTTAATAAATATTAAGGCATTTTTATTATATATATTATTGATAGTTATCATTATCGCTTTCCGTATTCTCTTCCTTAATAAGCTCCTGCTGTTCTTGCACGTTAAGCTTTAATTGAGCAATTGTGTCGTGAAGAGCCACCAGTTTGCGGGAACTGCTTCTCAAATTTTCAACGCGCTGACGGGTGGCTAAATAACAATCCAAAGCATTTTGATTATCCGAGTTGCTATCTACGTTCACAATTTGTTGCATGAGCTGTTGAAACTGTTCCAATATTTTTGTCAGTGCCAGCTCACAATCGGCATTTAAATTATACAGATTTTGCGGCTCAGCATTCTTTTTTAATGGCGGTGACATCGAAGCTTGCTCTTCAACCTGCAAAAGGGTATTGTTCGACTTCTCCATGATTTCACCGATCTTAATCCCTTGCTTGATCATACTTTCTCGTGCTGTGACTGCAATATGGGTATACGATGAGATAATTAACTTGAAAAAGAGATTTCTATTTACCGAGACCCTCCAATACATCATCAATTATCTCAGACATTTAAATTTTTGTTGAGCGTGTTATCAAAGTTATTATCGTAATCGTTTCCACAAACAATGTTGAGTTCACAATGAACTGTCAGTTGTCAGTGATGCCACCATATTCAATCATACTTAGGATTTTAATAATTGCACTATAAACCTGCATAAATTATGCTATATAATGCAGCGTTGGTATGTAATATATTTTAAACGACGACCTTATTAAATGACACACTGTGTTTAGTCCTAACCATAACAATTGAAAATGATTTTTTGGAGCAAATTGTCCATATCAAATTGTGCGCCCTGTTATTAACAGATTTGAAAATGTTAAGGCTTAAGCGGCCACAGGTAGTTCCGTTCACTAAATGAACCATATTTTGTTCACGCTCTGTACGCTCCTGTTCAGCGCACGTGTATAAATATTAAAGAGTTTGGTTGCTGTTTATTTCTCACAAAATGGATGTTGTAAAGGCAGTTTTGGAAAAACATCAAAAGGAATTGGACAAATACAAGCCAATTACTGTGGAAAAGCATTTAGAATGCCGCATCGATGTAGGCACACTTCTCATCACAGATCCCAACGATTTAGATGACCGGCAGTTGGCGTAAGTAAAAATCTCAAACCATATTATGAGCATTTAAATTGAATGATCAACCTATTTAGCGACAACAAGGAAGAATACCTGTCCGCGCTAACCCGTGATAACACACAGCTACTGGTCAATGCCATTTGGGAGCTGCAAACCGAACGCGTTGATGAGAGCATTGTGGCGAAACTACCTGAGCCAACGACCGTGCTGCCGCGCCTACGCAAACCTCCTGGTCCACGTCCTCTGACGAAGTGGGAGAAGTTCGCTAAGGAGAAGGGCATCACAAAGAAAAAGAAGGATAAGAAAACCTATGATGATGTACTGGACGTGAGTAATCATGTACTTTTATGCGTGAGCTTGTCTAATCATATTCAACCTCACAGAAATGGGTACCTACATACGGCTTTAAGCGTGCCGAGGCTGAAAAGGATAAAGAGTGGGTGCTGGAGGTACCCCAGAATGCGGATCCCAACACAGACATGTTCCAGAAGAAGATCGACTTGCGCAACGAGAAGGTGGCTAAGAACGAGATTCAACGCATGAAGAATATTGTGCGAGCCAAAAAGATTGAAATGCCACGCAGCGGATATCTAGGCCCAGAGGCGGCATCTTCCAATCAACTGCTTACGGCCGTAACGGTGGCTAAATCCTCTACTGCATCAGTCGGAAAGTTCCAGAGTAAACTGCCCAAAGAAAAGGAGGCCCGGGGTCTGGGTGTTAAGGAGCTCATACCAGGTGGCAAACGCAAGGCATCTCATATCTCAGCACAGCCCGAGCGGGAGGCTAATTTAGATCTGATCAAAAGCGTGCTGAACAAGAAGCCCAAACTGGACGTTGAGAAGGCGATATCACTGCAAAAACAAGATGAGCGGATGGAGTAAGTCATTGAAATACCAACTAAGGTTATATCTATACTAACTGTAATACATTTGTAGACGTGAAGCTGATAGCGCGAACAAACCTGCGAAAAAAGGCGGCAAGAAGGGCAAAGGCAGTCGCAAGGCAGTGGGCAAGAAGCCCAAGGGCCATCAAGGCCAGCGTGCGCCGGGCAAGAAGGGTCAGGCCGGTCGCAAGCGTCGTTAAATCAAAATTGGGAGCATTTACTAGGACTTTTTATTATTAAACCACACAATTTACATGATAAATACAATGATAATATTTAAGCCACATTAAGACTGTGTGCATCTATTTGTGACGGAATCGTAGGTCGACGGGCACGCTATGTCGCGTCATATACTGGTAGACGAAGTTGCGGAAGATTCGGTTAAAGTTGCGTATGGAAGGCCAATGAAGATTGGCAGCATTGTCGTTTGGGGTGTGCCACTGGGTTGGAAAGGGTGTCGCTATCAGATGCAATACGGGCACATTCTCCTCCAAAAACGGGCGATGATCGTCGTCGGTAAATCCGCCAGCGGGTCGATTCAGAAACATCTTGTTATTGCCCTCCAGCTGGCCAGAAGCGCGCAATGTCTGCTCGATCTGCACGAGACTCGTATGCAACCCACTCGTGTTCTCAAAGAAGCTGGCAAATTTCGGATTGCGCGCACCAATCAAATCAAGCAGCACAAGCACCTCCTAAACAATTTGGATGTTTAATAGATAGTTCAGATCCGCACAGCTGAAAGATCCACTTACAATGCGATCAATGTGACGTGAGCTTCGACCCTGTGCAGTAGCAAATGGGTTGGGCATTTGACTATATTTCCTGGCCAAATGACGTGAGCCATAAAGCGAATCAGTTCTGCTCCAATCCCTGAAGGCCTCCTCGCCGTCAAAGAAGATCAGCTGTAGAAGTGAGAATAGATTTCTTTGGTTATTTACAATTAAATTGAAAGTATATAAGAGTTTCACGCACCATCAAGCCGAGATCATTTCGGTTACGGAACTGCTGCGCCAGATAGCTTTTCAGCGTTTTCGCTGTATTCAATAGCATGGCACAGGGCACAGCCGAATCGGTGGCGCCGACGAATCCGGGATCTTCAGCAAAATATTTGCTGTCATAGTGGCAGGCGAGAGCTAAGTAATTTTGTGCCTGTGGATTGATGTAGCCTATCACATTGGCGAACGTTACTTCACCCAAGATCGGCACACGTTCCTTAAACTCATCCACTTCCGTTTGAAAGCCAAGGGCTTTGAGTGAGTTAACTAGGTAATTGCGGACCTGCTGATGGCCGCGGCTACCAACAACGCGTGGCACTAAAATGGCTTCCAAGCTGCTGTTAAAGTGCGCCTCATCGTCAGCCAACGGCGGCGCTGTGTGCAGCTGTTGATTAAACAAAAATGATCATTTCTCAGTAAAAAGGGGAATTTACTTTTCTTGGGAACTTACGTTGGCCTGTTGGGCGAGTGCATAATCAACTATTGCCATCAGCCCAACGATGAGCAAAATGTAATCAACAGATGCCTTCATTATCGCATTCACAAAGAGCGTCTGAACAAAGGCAAGCTTTATGGAGCACTGAAGCCGATCTGTCTCCGAATGGTATGAAACCAATTTCCATTGCTATGGTTATATGTATTTCCTTGTGTTGTTGGTACTCTCGATACGGTGTTAACAATTTGTTGCGCTTGATTGTGTTGTTGCTCTGCTCTCACGCATCGGGCGCAAGCAGCACTCAAACGGTAGATGTGCGTTTGTGTGCGTGTACAAAGCTTTTCAACACGACTTTGAGCAGAGCTTTGAAAGAGTGCAGAGAGCGTACAAGTGCGCTGAGTAAAGCTCGTTAACAAAAAGCCTGTCTTCTGTATTTATTCAATATGCAAATCACGTAAGCTTTAAAAGCGTTAGAATTATACGTTAATTTTAAAGCAATAATCACTGTGTGCGCGGTTTAAAGCATATTCTCATTGGAATTTGTTGTTTAATTTAATTCAATAAAATATTATAATCTGCTAAAATATTTATAATAATTATTATCCATATTTGCCAATTCTTGATAGGAATTCAATATGATTTTCCAAATACTCGTAAACGAATTGGGGAAAAATCAAGTTCATATTACGTATTGCTGGCCAGTAGAGATTTGCTAAGTTATCCTTTTCTGTGTGCCAATATTCTGGATAAGTATGGGGCACTATATGCATAGCTGTCACGCCTAAAATCAAATTAAATTAGCTAGACAATTAATAAATGCGAATAATACGAACCTTCACTTATAAAGGGATAATGATCATCTTCAATGTCGCTATCATGATCTTTGATCTTATGGAACAGCTTGTGGCACTCGGTGAGCTGACCCGCTTTTCTCAGCTCCGCTTCGATGTCTGCCAGGCGCTCATGCAAGATATACGTATTACTAAAGTGGCTCAGAAAGATATGATCCGGCGCGCCAATAAGGTTTAATGAAATGATTAACTCCTGGGGGACAAAAATATGTCTGATTATAATCCATAGATGACATGCAATAATTATATCAACCTACAATACTTCGTAGGGGCATAGTTTCGATTGCAGCAAAGTGTCGCGAACCGTTAAGAGAATTGAGATCTTCTTTGACATCTTCCAGCATGGACTCGTGGCCGTCAAAGAACACTAGCTAAAAGTTAAAGGAAATTTATATATTTTGGTTAGCTATTACAGATTTATAGATAGACCAACCATCAAGCCAATATCCTCTTTGTTGGGGAACTGCTCACGAAGGTACTCATGTAACACCTTGGCCATGTGGAGAAGTATCGCACACGAAACAGCGCCATCTGTGGCACCCACATAGTCCGGAGAGTTTTTCAAAAACTTCGAGTCGTAATGACAGGTGAGCAATAGGAAACTTGGGGCATCTATATTCATAATACCCAAAATATTGGTAAACGTTCGTTGGTCAAAGAACTGGTCGCGGAACGCAATAAACCCAAGTGAACCCAGTTCGTCAAAGAGAAAACTGGCCACTTCCTCGTGACCCGGGCTGTCCATCCAGCGAGGCTTGAGAATGTTGGCAAGCGTATGATTGAAATATAATTCATCGTGTCCAATCGTAAACGAGCGCTGCCAGAGATAAAACAAAATCACGAGGCTGAGTATCAGCAGAACAATGCTAACTCTCGACACGACGCGAGCTACACGAAACATTGCTAGAGACTAATATCAATTCAGTGCCAGGAAACTCGCCAATATGGAGTGGAACGAGTGCATTTGCTACAGAGTGGAAAAGACGCGACTAAAGCAATTCGATTATACACACGCACGAGACATTTTTACTTAAATATTAATATACCAAAGACGAATTCTCTAAAATATACTACTAATGCTACAAACTCTGCAAGACTACTTGGGTTTCTGGTGGGTGGAGTCCTGCCTTAGATTCTGTACCCGTTGCAAAATCTCTGTGCCTTGACTGAGCAGTGATGGGCCCCGGGCCACTGACACAAAGCTGGGAGCGAATTGCCTGGAAGCGCGGGACTTGACGACGGCCACGCGATGCAGTTTCTTGGATCGGAACTCGTCGCGGGACAGAGTGCGCAGGCTGGAGCCCTCGTGCCAGGTGTGCTTGGTGTGGGCTATGCGACGCCTGCCTTGACCGCAGCACGGCTGATGCCACATGCGCTGATCCTTGCCAAAGTTATTGCCATCGCTGAGCGTCTGGGGCAGATCCTCGTACAGAGTCTCTGGCAGGAATAGGCAGATGATGCCACCCACAATGCCCAAGCCGCCCAGGGTGTTCAGCATGAGGGAGAGCGAGAGGTGGGACAGATAGATAACCGGCGGGGACAGCAGCATGGCAGCAAATCCGAGGGTATGGATTAGCGATATACCCTGTGCCCGCACCACCGTCGGCAGCACCTCGGCGGCCCACTGCAGGCCGATGTTGTAGCAGACATTGGCAAAGAAGCGACCCGCCAGGGCGGCGACCAGAGTGTGAGTGGGATTGGAAAGATTAGCGCCCACCAGGCTGAACAGCCCGCTCAGCGTGGTGAAGGTGAAAGCGCACCAGCGACGCCCGAAGCGATCCAGCGTAACGATGACGAGCAGGTCGCCCGGCAGCTCAGTGGCGCAGGCTATGGTAAATACCACGGCCACGTTCTCCTTGTCCAGCACCGAGGCGGCTCGAACATGGCCATCGTACAGCAGTGACATGATCATCCAGATCAGGCACATGAACACCATGTAGCGCGCCAGCCGCGGACGCTTGAAGATCGAGAAGACCGTGAAGTTACGGCCCTCGAACTCCTCCTTGTAGAACAGTTCGCAGCTCTCGCGGAATCGCTTCCAGTAGACGGGGGGCACGACGCGCTTGTTCCTCGCTGCCACACGCTTGAGTATATCGATGGCATCGTCGATCTTGCCCCGCGACACCAGCCAGCGCGCCGACTCGGGCAGGCAGCAGAACGAAACGAATCCAAAGGCCAGCGGAATGCAGCCATACAGAGCAAACGAGCGCCAGCTTTGCAGATATATGGCTATCCAGGGTATGAGCATGGTGAACGGCGAGTAGAACATGGCCAGTGACATATTGGCCACAAAGGTGCGATACTTGGGACCCACATATTCCAGCACTGTTCAAAATGGAGGGCGAATGAGCGGGCAAAGGTAAACGGAGAGAAAGCTATGGAGTTATTATACTCAGTATATAGATCATGGTGAAGCAGGTGTCGTAGGCGGCGCCCACAATCAGCCGTGTGACCACAAAGCTCCAAAAGTTCTTGGTCATGCCCGTGAAGAGGCTGCCGAAGAATGCCAGAGAGCAGCTGCTCACCAGCGCAGCCAGGCGTCCGCAGTGATCCGCAAAGTGTCCGTAGCCCAGGCAGCCCAGCACCGAGCCGAGGAAGAAGATCATTTGGGCATAGGTGGCATAGAAGTCATTGTCGCACACCCAGCCAAACTCGATGTTGGCCGTGAAGAATGCCTCGCTGTTGCTGAAGACATAGCCCTCCCGGCAGGGTATTCTGGGCAGGGAGCTATTCATGAATTGGGTGCGATTCTTGGCCTTGTAGATGGCCGTATAGTTGGTGTCGTACATTTCGCAGCGACTGTAGCTGCCGTCCTTCAGCTTGGGTATGGACAGCTCCTTGCGCTCCTGCTCGCTCTCAATCAGAGTCAGATCATGCACAAAGCAATAGTATTTCTCGGGCGTCAGCGTCATAAAGATCTGGCTGAGGTACACATAGGCGGAGATGAAGCAAAACGGTATCATTAACAGGAACAATATCTTCTGGTAGCACCCGAATTCGCCAATTTCCGGCAAAAGGTCATCAAAGTCGATGTACGTATCGATTTCCACGGTGGACGGCTTCGATTTATCCTCATCCGATCCGATGCTGCTGTTCTCAGATTGAATACGAAAGTCCCGACCATGATAGCTGCCTGTCTGCTGAGATTTCTCCTCTGACGTTCTCTGTGGCTGTCTCTCTGCAGTGTTATCACTAGATATACAAATATTTGTACATATGTATGGGTCATTCATGAATTCCCATGAGTAATACTAATCACTCACTTATTGTCTCCCGTGACCCCTGTCGCCTGAGTTCCGAAATCCCGTTTCTGCATTTTCCTGACCATCCATAGAAAACGGAATCCGGCTCTGACAAAGCAATTATGTATCGAAGTCAAGGCGCCGCCTCCTGCTCCGATTCGAATGCTGCTCGCTCATGTGATTCATCAAGTTTCCAAGCGACTGACTGCTCCCGTTTCCTGTCAGACGACAATCTGCGGCTTATTGACGCCATCGACGACCATTAGTCCCTCGCATGGATGGTGGGAGTCAGAGTGAATTGTCGACTCATTGCAGCATCGTTTAATTACCCAAACAAAACCGCTCGGCCCACTTCCAATCAAAATGAGTGCACAAAGCAAACACTGCAAATTTGTGGCTTACAATTAAATTAAATGAAGGCACAGCCAGGGAACCAGCTGGGGACATTGCGTATACGCCGCAGGGCCCCACGGACCACCCGTTGCATGCAAATCGTTCCATTGCCAATGCCAATGCGAAAAGCCGCCTGTTGCTAAACGGGCCAGGGCGCATGCGTTGCCCAGCAGCAGCAGCAGCAGCAGCAGTAGGAGTAAAGTGTGGGGGAGGGGCGGGGGATGTCGTTTCGAACATCCATTCATAAAATGCCGCACGCTGTTCGAAATTGTGGCCATGTTTCGCGATGCGAAAACAGTTCTGGCGCGTCTTTCAAAGCGATTGGTTGCCGGAGTCGGAGCAAACTGCATTTACGGCAATTCACGGCGTGACGGGCAGAAATACGCCGCATAAATCAGTGTCATAAATCTGCGTGCGTTGTATATGAAATTAAGTGTCCGTATTTACAGATAGCGCTAAGCAGCCCAATGACAGGCCGCAACATATCCTAAAGAGCAGCCCAAGCACAGGCAGCCATAAACAAGTCGGCGGCGCCCTAAGACAAACTGCCGCCCAGTGCCCCCAAAGCAAGTGTCAGAAAGCAATGAATAAGTGGCGGCTGCCGTCATACAAATGAAGCGCCCAATGTACGATATATATGTACATAAATATATGAATATGTATGTATGTATTTACAYATAAGTTATTGGATTAAGAGTCCCTCGCAATGGCAATACTCGAGTCCTGCTGCTTCTGGAAGAATGTGCGGCAGGGCAGCTTCGCCTGCGCCTTTTACACTCTGGTGGGTAATCAATTATGCGAGATTTTTGATATCTTTTGCATGACAAACTTAAACAAGATGAACAGATGATGGGCTTAGCTTAGCTCTCCACACACAAACACACACACACGCACACTGACTTTAAGCCTAAAATCATGCTGAAAGTTTAGAGCCGAAAAGCAAAGTGAGAAGCTGAAAGCGAACGGGATTATCAAGTAAGCTGTAAAGTGGGGAAAGTAAGAGAAAGTTTACTTGAATTTAAGAGGAACGCGAAGAAGGAAACTTAGAGACTAACTTGAAGCAGAGTGAGAAGCAGAGGGAGAAGAGTGTAGTAAATCAAAATGTTGAGCTTGTAGTATTGAAATATATTGCCGAATTCAAAGCAACAAACTAATCAAAATGCAATAAATAATAACTTAATTATTTACAAGCAAAGTGAGAAACAGAGGGAGAGGCAAAGTAGTGCAGTAGACCAGGAAGCATCGTTATATTGAACTGAACTCTAGCTAAAATCAGTGCAATAAATGATACCAAATTGTCCACTTAGCCAAGCCAGAAACTAATTAGCAATGCTATATTTAAAGCTAATCAATAATAAGTTAATAAATTACAGTGTATTGAGAAACAAACTGAGCGGAACAAGTGGCACAGTAGTGCAGCAGACCAGGATATTGAGCTGGGAGCATTGATATATATGTATCTTGTTGTAGATGAACACTTGCCAAACGTCGAATCGACTTGAGCATTGAGTCAAGCAAGATACTAATTAGCAAAGCAATAAGTGCAATGAGAAGCAAAACTAGAAGTCAAACGGGAAACAAAGCCAGAAGCTGCACATAGAGAGCCAGGAGCCGAGAACTGAGAGCTGAGAGCTGATTGCTGAGGCAGTCGTTGCAAAAACCAATGCAAGAAATGAAGCGAGCTTGGAAACAGGTATCCAAGCGAGCATCCAAGTAAGAAACAAAGAAAGCGAGACGCAATATGAAGTGTAGGAAAATGGAACAAGTCAAGCGAGAGGCGGAAGTAATTGCGTGACAAAACGTTGAGCCGAGCGCGAGCAACTTATTGAGCCAGGCAAGGGGAACTAAGCAGGAAGCACTACCAAAGGCGAATTACGCTGTTGTCGACGTCATGCCCGACAAAGTGTTTGAGTCCCAAAGGAATCGGGTTACGACAGATACCATAAAAGAAATGTAAAGGCAACAATTCCAGCATGCAACGAATGTCAAAAAAGTTCATTCAATCAGGGAAAAACTTTTCTCTAACAGCAAAAAAAAAAAAAAAAAAAAAAAAAAAAAAAAAAAAAAAAATGCAAGCAATAGCAGCAAAATGCATTGAAAATTCAGAATATTGAGGAATAAATAAAATACCAATTTCTGAATTTAAATATACACATTTCTTTATAATCTTTACCTTTCAACAATTGCCTTTTTTCATCCAACATTTTCAGATTTACTTTGGCCTGTCCACGTTAATGTTTACGTTTTATTTGAAAGAGGAGCAGGACTTTTTGCTGGGTCGCAGCACACAGCCGTTGGGTGAGAGCATCTTGGAGAAGGGCGATGTAACTGTAGGTGAGAGCAACATCTTGGGCCAGCCCATGCCCCATGCCCCATGCCCGATGCCGCATGGCAGATGTAACAAATGTTGATTGACGTAATTTGTGATTGCAGTAACTGTGATATTCAACATTTTGTTTTTGTTTTGCTCGATGCTGATGGTCTTGGCGTCCCTTTTGCTGATTGCGGGACTGCGGAATGTGAGTGTTGGGTGGTTGCAAATGGGTCCTTGACATTGTCTAACAGCCGCTCACCTGTTCGTCTCTCATCCAGAACAAACGCCAATTGCTGTTGCCCTGGATTGGTTTGATGCTCTGCGATTTGCTTATTGAGATCGCCCATCTGGTCCATCTGACATTGTCACGCCGCGTGGTGTTCGATCCCATTGTCGGCTTCATATTCACGCTAGACTTCTTCATACTCTGTCTGAATGTGAGTGACAAAGGACTACGAATATATCAACTTTGCCTAATTAGCCCCACATTTGATTCAATTTCAAGCTCTACTGTTTGCTCTGTGTGGTATCCCAGTATCAGACTTATCGCACACAGCACGCCGAGCAACAACAACATCCAGCGATATCGGTGAGTCCTTGCGGAAGTATGTAAAGCCAAATGCAATCAAATAGCTCGGTTTCCATTCAACTAGCCCATTGTGGTCTTTACGGAGCCCGAGAAACAGGGCAAAACAAAGCGGCAACTGTTAACGGCTTCAAATGCTGCCAAAGGGAAAAGGCATTCACATCGCCTGCTGGCTGCGAGTCCTTTGATCACGTCACAGCGGCCAACCAACTTTTCCACCATCACCGAAGAGGAGGAGCAAACACAGCAGCAGCAGCAGCAGCAGCAGAGCAAGGGAGCTGCAACCCCAACAACAGCAGCAGCAGCAGCGGGAGGTATTTTAGGGTCAAAGGACACCTAAGGACATTAACAATGCTTGTGCTCGTTTCAGCTGTCAATGGCCATAACGATAACGGTCACATTCCGGAACAGTCGCCATCCCAATCCAGCGAAGCGGCAGAGCCTTCCAATGTCAATATACCAATTATTACTCTAGATCCCAATTCGCTGCAATGATGCAGCTGCTCCGCTCGACAACGACATGGGACACTTTGAAGTGGACCCATACACACACACACGCATACACACATACACACGTAGAGTTGACCTATTTTTACATGTATGGTTAAGGTAAAATTCTCATAAATGCCATCAAACCAAAGTGTCGTCTCTTCACTCATGTTGCCGTCGTCCACAGAACTTGTTCGCAGCATCCTCTCCCTTAATTTCCTGTGCCCCGCAGCCAACACAGCCGAGAGCCCACTTGTTGTATAACTCTTAAACTACAGCGACTTGTGATTGACAATGATTAACGTGCAGCACGAGCTTCCTTCATTAATACTGTGGCAGGCTGAAAGTGATTTGTGTACAGGTGCTTTGTGTAACAGGTAAAAGAAATCTCAAATGTCATCTGTCAGCCTACATAGTTTATACATATATATATAGGTATAGCGTCTTTAATGCTTAAAGACATTTTTCTCTAGGGCCATGGCTTAGCCTTATTATTAACATGCAATTGTTTGATGTTGATTTCCAGAGAGATCAAATCAAATCAAAGAGAAGGGGCCGTCGATATTGAAGGCAAACATTTATGTGTGTGAATGGGTCGGCTTACTGTTTATTATACGCACACATAAATTTATACAAATTCATCTAACTTAATCAAAGGCTCTACACAGAAAGTTGGGTCCCCATAGTGACACCCAGCTCATGTGACTGTGCCTGAAGGGTAGAGCCTGTTGTGCCGGCAGACGACAGCTAACAAGCTGCCCTTCATACAGTAGAAGGGTAATTGAAAACCTTACTCAAAAAAAGAAAGCAAAGCAATAAAACAATTTATAGCAAGACATATGTTAGAGCATATGTAGTATATATGTGTATAAACAAGTAATACATCAAGAGAGACAGACAGAGCTGTTTCTATAGCAGAGAAATGTTAGCATTGTCCCAGGTCAAGTGCGACGCGAAAACAATTTAAATTTAATTAATGCAGCAGGACAGCTCAGCTTAAGTTCCACGCAGCATTAACTAAATTAAATTTTAAATAGCTAAAGCCGGACTCTAGCGCCTGACAAATTGCTGGCCGAGCTCGAAAAGTTCGTGTTTGCTGGCCAGGAGCAGCACTTTCGCATTTCGACGAAAGGTAGGGTCTCACTTAATGTCACTTAATTACTCTTTTAGATTGGATCTCTTAATTACAAGCTGCAGAGCGCATTGCGTGAAGCCGAGTGGCATAGCTGCAGGGCCTGAAGCAGTCGCTGAACTGTGAATGGCAGAGCAAAAACTGCAGCAAATGCAAGTGTGCGTGTATATGTGTGGGTGGTGTTTGTGTGGTTGTTGTCAATGTTGCAACAGTTGCCACAGCTGCGCACAGGTATTAAGCATCAGCTCTGGCATT